CGTTTATAGAACGAAATAGAGCGATAATTTGAGACTTATTTTATTTATAAATTTCACGATTTCATAATTCTAAACTGGTTTAAAATCCAAAAATTTTAAATGACGGTTGTGTTATTAAAATAAATGTTGACTTATTAAAAGGGAACAACAAATAATTTTATTATTGAACATAATAGTTACATGTCATTTAAATTGTTAGAAAATTTAGTTAAAATTTGATAACTATTGTATTTTTAATAATTTAATATGAAATTTTGCTTTCTTTTTCAGGCAGCTCTATATATTCTATATTTAACCATACTTTTTTCATTCCATTCTCCACTTATTTACCCCACGTCCTTTGTTTTTTCATTTTTCGATTCGACTTTTATATTTATGGCTTCTCACTTTTAAACAGAAATTCGTCATTTCCAAGTATTTTGTGTGTCTCTAAAATGTAGAAAAGTTTTCCGAACCCTAGGGGTTCCATTTAAAACACGAAACGGGCCAAAACAATGTCGTTTACTGCTTTTTTTTTTTATAAACAAAAACTTTAAAATGTGATATTTCCGAGTTCTCCCAGGCACAAAATACGAGGTAAGTTTGCGTTCTCCACCGCACGACACTCCAGGATGAGCCTCCGTCACCGCTTTTCCTCCGTCGGTACCTCCTTTTAATCACTGTCTGCATCATCTCTCGGGATCTCCTCAAGGATCCGAAGAAATTTATCTCTCCGCCTGAGAGAAGAAACCTCTTATCCTCCGTCGCGTTACGGTACAAGCCACCGATGAGACTTGTCATGCCTCCTTCGTCCATCTCGAGCATGGATCGACCTCTTCGAGCTTCACCTTTTGTCGCCTTGCACGCTCATGTATGTGACTATCTTTACGCAGAGGCACTAGAATCTCTCCAACCACCAGAACCTCCAAATCCACCAGATCCTCCGGATTTTCTCTCTCCTCCTCCGCTGCTAGACACCGGCGAATGCTTTTGTCGATCCATCGACTCTCCTAACAAATCATTTATGTGTTCTACTGGTAGTTGCGTGGAGCTCTGCATCTCCGGCGAGTCCCCTTGGCGGCCGTAACCGTGGTGACTGGCCGACCGTATGTCTCGCTTCCGTCTCCTCCATCCACCCCACCGTCAGATTATCCGCACCGGCAAAGCTTTCCCATCGTAGTTCTAATTTAGGCTTATGCCTTATTATGATAATCGGTTCATGTCTTGATTTAACAATGGCCTCTTTAGCATTTCTGGGCCCATCAAAATCCAAATTTGGTTTCAACTACGGACATAGTCTCTGTCGTTTGGTTCAAGCGATTATCTTAACGGAGAAATTTGTTTCGTCTAAGCCCTTCCTTATGGAGAAAGCAATCACGTCATATTTATCCTCCTTGGAGCTTCTCCTTTTAAGCTACACCTCTCGAACTGATGGTACAGTTATCCGATGGATTGCTGTGGTGGTGACCTCTCAGGCAAAAACTTATCCAACGAGAGCAAGAAGAATATTGTTTTTGGTACATTTTGATTCCATATTCTCTATCATGTAGAGAGCTCTTGCACTTGTTTCCTCTTGTAAGGAGATTTACACTCTCCCACATTCCTCCTCAACCGAGAGAACTTACTCCTGTATGGAGAAACCTTCCTCCTTCACGGAGAGAACCCTTTCCTCATCAACGGAGAGACCCCTATCCTCCTTTATGGAGAAACCTTCAGCCTTCACAGAGAGAACCCTTTCCTCCTTTACGGAGAGATCTCCTTCCTCTTCTACAGAGAGGTACCAGTCAACAATCTCCTCCTTGATGGCCATAGTGCTAACCTTGCGAGCAACAATTAACCATCTCGTGGTCTTGGGAATCAAGAAGGCTGTCATCTCAGTCTCCACAATGACTTCAAACCCGAACATGTTCTCGGATTTATGGAGTCGTGTCTCCCTACTCATCTCGAAGGCTGCTAATTCCTTTGTTACTATCCTAGTTTTATCTAGTTCATGTTTTAACAATGTTGCTATTCTTCTCTTTGAAAGTTATGCCTTGATGGCTTTTAACAACTCCTCTTGTAGGATGCGTACCTTCCTTTGAGTTATAAAATCAGCCCGTTGACAAAAAAGAAAGAAGTGATATTTCCGAGTTTTGTTTCCAAAAATGCTATTATTAATTTAATGAAATATCACCAAAAATTTTGGTTTTTCAAAAATATTTCAAACACAAAAATTAATTTCCACGAATTTATAATTTAAATTTTTTGGATTTGGGTTAACTATTTTAAATTTAGGGTATAATTTTTAGGGGTAATTAATTAAGGTTTAGAATTTAATTTCAAAAATTAAAAAGTTTTTTCTTTTTTTTTTATAAATCGTGAAAATTTCAAATTTTTGACTCATAATATTTTCGGTTATCGAAGACAGAATTTTGGATATTTCGATTTAAAGAATAATTCTCCGTGTCAAAAGGAACCAGTATTATCACTAGACCATCATCCTTTTGGTATTTTTGAAAAACTAAAACTTAAATAGTATATTTGGAACATAGTGGTTTTTTATGAAACAAAACTTAAAAATATGATATTTTTGAATATTGTTTTTTTTATATATTAATATATTTTTTCCATAACTTTTAGAAACTCATTTATAGTGCTTTTTAACTTTAGTGAAGGTATTGGACCTATTAGTTATGATTGATAACATATACAAAACTATACTATAATTTTGTATTATTAATCACTGAAATGGTAAAGAAATAGCATTGCCAGATGTGGTACCAC